CTGTTGTCGCCCTGTTGATGACGTCAGCGACGTGGTTTAATCGGGCGCGCTTTAGTCGAGCGCTGTTTTGTCGTGCCACAGCCCCTCCCGCCCCGGTTACGTGATTGCATTTTGGGCTCTTGACAACCAGCTTGCATTTACAGCTTTAAGCAGCACCATCCCCCCGCCCCCTGTCACAGGACTGCAATTTTTAATTTTTGGCTGGTTTCCAGCAATGCCCATTATGGACTAAGGACTTAACAACCATGCAAAAAAACAAAACAAACCCCACAAACCATGCAGTCACATGATGAGCTGCTTAATGACTGGCATGACTTACTACCATAATTCTGGGCTCAATTATGGTCGTAAGTCAACAACTACCTATGGTTCTCACTCAGCAACTACAATTGGGACTGGCAACTCTGTTGCTATGATCTATGGTCACTTAATGAAGCATCACAGAACCACGATAGGTTGATCGTCTCACTTCCCCTTCAATTGTGAAGCGGATCATTATGGTTGTTAAGCAAAACATCACAAGACACGGGTCTTCACATTTGATAAAAGCCAGCTTTGAAAAAGCCAGTTGCAAGGTGAGATCACTGCAATGCTCACAAATGTAAGGATTGGTTGCATGCAAAGCTTTTTTTTTTTACACTGTGTAACTAAATATGGTCATTAAACAAGGACTGTCAGTAAGCAAGGACTATTGGTACTCTTCCTGTTTCTTTTTCTTCTATTACACCGGATAAATGACATCTGAAAACCTTTTCTTTTCTGCAAATGATTCCGTCGGTAAAACAAAAGCATGCGATGGACGGAGGGAGCTTAAGCTTACTCCTTCATTTCTCCTAACATTCTGCAAAAAGAAAAGGTGACGTTTCCGGGGAAGAGTTTAACAATCCTTTTCTCCTGAAGGAACCCTGCAATGCAGCAGGCTGTTAGACTAACGGTATGCAAAGTTGCAATGTAACAGCTTGAAATTGAGTGGCCAACCGCCAACCTCCCTCGCCTACATTATATGCAGGTTTTTGGAACTGTAGGGAACCTCGTCATGACCACCTAGTTGGCAAAAAAAAACCCAAAAAACTTTCCAATGAGGAATGTTCTGACCTAGGCTTCCCAAAAACATGAAGCCGACTCCCCGTCCCGATAAAACCCCTTTCATTTCGTTTAAAGAGAATTCCTCTCCAGTAAAGTCCCGGCGAACAGTCTTTCGAGAGATTTCACAGCTACAGAGAGTTATCAGGCTTGGAGAGCTGCCAGGCCGATATCTTCCAAACGCCACTCTGTAGCAGACAATACTTGGCAAGGAGTCAGGAACAGATGTTCACCCTAATAGCAATAGCAGTTAGACTTATATACCGCTTCATAGGGCTTTCAGCCCTCTCTAAGCGGTTTACAGAGTCAGCATATTGCCCCCAACAA